ACTGGATGGCGCGGGGCAAACAAACATAAGCTGCTCGTGGACCAAGTGTTAAGTCCATGATTTGCGGGGGAATGGATCATTCATTCTTCCATTGGGGAAATGTGCATGAACAACAACTCCAAAGGTCACACATTTGACCTACCTACTGTTTATGTGGCACCAGTGATATCTAACTAAGGTAAGGAACTCCATGTCGCGGTTGCTCCACTCCGCTGCAGTCTCATTAACTGAACTTTGTGGGTCAGTTTCCCACGTGGGGGGTGGGGGTGAAGGCATGTCCCTTGACTATTTTTTAGTAACTTGGTATTTTGTAACCTAGTACACACTATGAGATGTGAAATGTAAAATATCCTAACTCAAAAGTATTTTTTTTATTTCAAATTATCAATTTTTCTCGAAAATAGAGGATATCTCCACTAGGTTTTGTAACAAATGAAGGATGGTTTGGTCACAGGGACTACAGGACTTTGTATATTGATGGGAAATTACTAATCAATTTGGCTTAGATTTACTCAATCATGCATAATTTTTGAAGTTTAAACAACGTTGTTTTCTATTGCATTATATAATGGAGTTGAAACGAACTAGAAATAGTTAGTCTTTTTTGTTCGTATTTTTAGGTCAAATGTAAATTGTTTCATTGTTTCATATAGTGATTAATATATTTTGTCATGCTTGAAGTTAATGTTATTTTAGTTGATGAATTTTATTGTCATATTTGCCCCCTTCCTCCCCCCCACCCCCTTCGGAGATTACAATCCTGGCTCTGTCTCTGCTCCCAAACTTGGACTTAGGGTTACCCTCTATATAAATCAGATCCTAGGACATTTGTAGATGATTTAGAAACTTTGAGAGATATAAAGGGATACACATAAGAAATATCTAAACCTAAAACACACTTTTGTTCTTCAAACTTTTGAATCGAAAAGTGTTCTAGAGATTTTTAACTACAGATTTAACTTCAAATCTTGAGTGTTGTGTGAACACCTTAATCATCTGATGGCTTCTGAAGAAGGAGTTTCTTAAGTGCTTCTTCAATTCAGATATTGCCTTAAAGTTTGAGGATGACGATTTCGAGGTTCAAAGAAGGACAAGTCAGCAAGCATTTCCTGGGGTGAGTGTGATTTGAACACTTACCGGAGGAGCCGGTGTTCTACGAGTTGAGTGGCGAGAGAGAGTTTGTTGGGAGAAGTATGAGACAAGAGGATAGCTCTTATCTAATGCTGCCAGGGGGTTTGTAAGTATTTGGGTCTAATTTCAATAGTGGAGGGTTTAGGCTAAACTTGGTCCAGTGGTTTTTACCTTGCTTGGAGTTTTTCATGTACAAATCACCGTCTTTTGTTTACTCATACTACGATTTTGTGATTTTTTGGTAAATTTACTTGAGGTAGAGACTGAATGTAATTGAATTGATAAATTGATACAAGACCTGTTCACCCCCAGTAGGTCCATTTAGGGTTTAGGAAGATATCGTTCACAATCGACTTGCTTAGAATTCCTTAAGCTAAACCCCTAAGGTAATATTACATCACGAATGAGGCACTCGCACCTAAAAAGACAAACAACCATGATAAATAATAATTCTATTCACTATTACATGAAAGAGCTATTATCACTATCCGCCTTGCACTGGGAGACTAGAGCACAGGGACCAAAATAACTAAGTTATACTAAAGACTAGGACTGATATATTATAAATAAAGGTATGAAATGTCATCCAGCATGATCCAAATACATGTTTTTGGTTGAAATAAAAGACTGTTGGGCTACAGTACCTAAGACCCTCAAATGACAAAAAGAAAAATACCCTCACAATAGTTCTAGCAGCTATATATCTGAAACTAACAAAAAATAAGACTCAATTCAACCCAGAACTTGAGTAGACAAGGAGAGCTACATGTTAAATTCCATTTTTTCCTTCTTCTTTTTCATATCATGAAGTATGTCATTCTTCCCCTCATTTGTTCTTCTGCATTTCATGATGTACGTCTTTCGCCTCCTCAATTGAGGATTCAGGTATAATAAAAGACAATAGTACAGAGCCTTCATTTTCCAACAGTCTTATTTTTGTCTGTACCAATAAAATTAATGGATGGAAGGGGTAGTGAATGAAAGCTGTCCTTGAGTGCTTGAGATTGAAAATTTCAGCTGCATTCTCGGTAATTACTTTGATCTGTTCAGCTTCAGTATCTTTATCTTAGTGTTATTTGTTCTTTCTTCAACCACCATAATAGTCACTGTCCACTATTCTTATAGTAACTTGGTTTGTAACATTTACCTAAATAGGGAAAATAGTAAATGTGACAGGTAAAGTGTCCAGCCATTGATTTTGAGTTGTAGGGATGCAACCAAGGATTAAAATTTCTTTTTGAGACTGTCAAAACGTTCGAAACGTTTCTGTTTCCAACGAAATCGAAACGAATCAATGATGGAATCAAAATTCTAATACGTCGTGGTGTTTCATAAAGTTTCAAGGTGTTTTGTAAGGTTTCAATGCATTTGCACAATTGTTTTAGAATGTTTAAAGGTATTGCAAGATATTTTAGTATATTTCAAACAATTTTTTGAAAAAATAATTCATAAATTTTTCATTTTGTTTCTAAAACAAGTCGAATCGTTTCCGAAACATGTCAAAATGTTTTCATTTCCTATGTGACCGAAACAATGCACCGAAATGAAATTTTGATCCCTGGATGCAACTACATTCTTTTGAGGTGCACATCCATCCTCTTGAAAGAGTAGAAGAAAGATTTTAAGGACTTATAAGTGGTGCATCCGCTTTTACCTCAAAAGATTTAGATCTTGAGTTGTCTGCAGTTAACTTATTATCAGTCTTCATTTGTTATTAACCCCAGTTAGCTCTTAAGGACTTGATTTTAACTTGTAATTCATCTTTATTGTGTGCTCCCATGGATTAGAAATTTACCAAGTAGGATCCTTCAGCTCTGATTCCAAGTTGGACACTACAGTTGTGGGTTTTGTGTTGGGTTTAGATTGGAAAATGATAGTGTTAGTGTGCATAGTTCTAAGAGATGGAAGACTAATGTTAGGGTTTAGGGATGAGGTTAAATTGAGATAGGGCTGATTTAGGATGTGTAGGTTATTGGAATGAAGCAAATCAGGTGATGGGATTCTGGATTGCAACTACTTAAGGTTTTATAATCTTCATTTGAAGGTTAGTAAAGGTTGGAGTTGATTAGAGGGTAATAGGGTGGTGTTCATAGAAGAAGAGAAAAAGTAGATGGAGACGAAGAATCAAGATATCCCCCAGAGTATTCCTTAGGTTTAGCATAGTAAGGTGGGTTTGCATTCTATACTAGGCATTCACACCTAAAGGAGATATACCAGACACTAGGAAACACAGATACGGATACGCGATATAACTTCAATACGAGATGGACACAACTATATGACAAAACCTAAAAAAAATAGGATACAAATATGGTAATGACATGGGTGCACTAAAATATATTCAATATTTTTACTAATATGCAATTTTTTGTATATAACTTTTTAGTAAATTTTTTAATAACAATTGAAACATAAGAAATTCTTACCTTCAAAGAAACATAGATTGTCTCATCGTGCTGTACCAACAAAGTGAATGTGTCTTAATGCAACCAGAACCAGCATTTAACTAGCTGGTTTATTAAAAGTACTTGTCGTCAAGAGGCAGGTTGTAATTATCCCAGTTTATAACCCTTTGACATGGGATAGTAATTAATACTTGTGAAACACCCGCGTGTCTTCAAAATCATATGGATTTTTCTTCTGTATCATTTTATGTGAATTCGAGAGGAAATGGTAAAAATTAAAATTAAAAATTTTACATATTTCGTTGCTTATCCACTCCATAACCAAAACACTTGACCTGGATGTCCGCATTCGAGACATATTCAAATATTCTATTGATTGTTGGATACAAATGGTGCGTATATGATATGTAGCGTTGAGTATTCAACGAGAATTATATGTGATGCAATATTCGATATGAATACTTCGACCTAAGCGGAGTATCTATGCTTCATAGGCTACACATCATAAATAGATTGTATTTATCCAGTATTAATACATAGTAAACTACATCGAACTAGAAGGATCAAATGCATAATTTGCCCCAAATAAGAACCATGGATTGCAATTACTGCCCATCTCCTCCTATCAAAAAAAAAAAAAAAATTATTGCCAATCTCCAATTTCCAGAATATCCTCATGTACAAACACTAAGAAAGTTTGAGTCATATACTACTAGAACTTATAAAACTTAAACTAACATAAAATGATGCTCAAATTGTGACCCAAAACTTGATTAGATAAGACCTTAAGGGAATTCCATACAAAATTTTTATTCTCTTTGGTGCTGCATTAACTGCGTACCTTACTGAAAATGTTTCCCAATCTGACCTGTCCACATTACTTACTGATAAATAAATGAAGAATTCGCATTTATCGGAACCTGTTCAGCACCTTTTTGGTCAAGCTTCTAGTATTGTGCTGAAAGTGTATCCACAACCCGTTTCCACAATTGAAGGCTTATACCTGGTTGGCATCTGGGGAAAAACCCCCTTCTTTTTTGGGCTTATTTTAGTGTGTTCTAAAACTGTGCCTAATTCATTTCTATCTTATACAACCATGTATGTGAATTCTGGATTTTTTGATTTAGGTGTCTGCAATTTCATATGTATCAGTATGACACTGTTGTTCTATGCTTTCAATTCCAACTGCCAAGTTGCAAAAAGCATATACTCTTAGATGCTGAGGAGACGTTGTTCATTTGGTTCAGCATGCTTGTTCTGTCAAGCTGAGCAGCTTATTGGTGATAGAACCATTTTTTTTCCTGGTTTCAGAATGAGGTTTTGTGTGCCTTATAGTGATATTTATGTTTTATTTTCTTTTATAGCTCTAGGATTTCATTTTCAACAACTTCGTACTGCATTTTGAGTTTTTTATGCTTCTGAGCTTCTTCATTTTATCAATAAACTCTGTGCTTTCAATTTGGCATGAAGGTTGCTGAGTTCAATGTACAAGCAGCACAACAAGGGATGGTTTACATTGATGAAGTTGATAAGATAACCAAAAAGGTTCCTTTCATTTTTTTCTTTTCTCAGCTTGGTTGTCATTTGTTGTTGTGTTAACTTTTTCGAGAGCAAAAGGTGTATATATCTGTTGGGTATTTCTACAGGCAGAGAGCTTAAACATTAGCAGGGATGTTTCTGGAGAGGGTGTTCAGCAGGCACTGCTGAAAATGCTGGAAGGAACTGTGAGTGACTTCATTAACAGTGGTTGTTAATCGATAAATTCTTGTGAACCAATGTCTTCTAATTACATTGACTGGAGGATGCCATCCTTTGAGCGGCCTTGTAAAATCTTGAATCATGCAAGCCACCTTTATGAAGTGTTAATGGCTAGATATTACATCATTAGAAGTATTTTTGCACTTGTAGACTTGTCTAGTTTTTTGGTGGCTACTGCTTGGGATGCAGTTTGTGCCTTGAGATATAATAACAATAGTATGTAATGAAAATCTTTCAGACATGTGAATGCTAGATTGTGCCATAGATGGGTCCAAGGAAGGTGATGCGCCTTTAATGGATCCACGCTCTTCACCTTTCTAGTGAAATAGGGCAGAGAGATGAAGGAAAGGAAGAGAGCTTTCCTTTTGAGCCCACACAATTTTTTCTGCCAATAATGGAAATGATGAAAGAAATCCTTTTATTTTTGTAGTTTCTTTGTCTTGTGAGACGGAACAAAAATAAGTAGCTGCAGGGCAATAGAGAAAAGCAGTGGGCGGGGTTGTAAGACCCAAGACATGCATGTAGACATTGTATTAAAGTATTCAACAAAGGGTTCTTCAACTTCAGCATAGGAAGCTACTCCGCCGTTTTTCTTACGTTTTCCCCACAAGCACTACTCTTCCTTTATTCTTTTCCTTTTTACCCTTATTATACAAAAAGATGCCATAAGGGGATGCAACTCAAGTACACAGACCTCAAACAATACCCTTATTGTAATATGTGAGAGAAAATGGTAAAGATCAAATCAACATTCCTATTCCTTTTTCTGTCTTTATTACTAAACCATACCAAAAAAGGGGACGGCAACTTCCTTTACCTAGTATATCTTTTCTATACCTTACGTCTCCTCCCAGTTTGTCTTCCTTTGTATCAAATATGTCATATGTACTTATAATTCATCGTCAAACTTCGGGCTGCTTACTTAAGCTCTATGATGCATAATCAAGTATCATAAAACTTCTTAATATTGGTGTAAATGTTTACTTAAACTAGTGACAGTCCATTGCAAAATCCCCATGCCACCCTATCTGATTTTGATATTAAGGAAAACTACCTTTTAAATCACCATCTCTCTCGGACTCGATTATCATATCATGAAAAACTAGCCATTAATGGGTTCAAATAATTGTTTTTTTCAAATATTTAAATGAGTAGCTACATGGCTAATAATGGTAAGAGTAATTATATAACTTGTAGCAATTTTAGTGGATGAATCATGAATCCATGATTTGTGATTAAATAAATCAAAATGTTGGAAAATTAGTAAATAAGGTCCCAAGATCTCTCCTCCTAATTTGAGTATTTTATATAATAGTATGGATTCCACAAAGCCAATAGGGTTCGGAATTTTCTCATAGAATACCTGCATGATTAAGATTGGAATCCACAGGAATTTATATCTGAAAATTTAAAAACAGGATATACTAATTGTTCTGTATTGAAGCAGTAAGTTATGGGGTGTTTGTGGATTTGCTCTATTCTTTTGAATTCTACTATTCTATTAATCTGTTATTTATTTATTTGATATTTCAAATCTGTACTCACCCGGATCAGTGAGTTCTGTCACATTAGATGTATTTGTTTTGATCTGTTATATGCTGCGAATATTATGCTATATGTTAAGGCTCTTAAAAATGATCATCAGTTGAATTTTTAGCATCATTCATTGGGAGCTCCAGCTATTTTTGGTCACCTGAAATTAAAGTATTTCTTGTGCCCAGATAGTAAATGTTCCTGAAAAGGGGGCAAGAAAGCATCCTCGAGGTGATAACATTCAGGTATTGGAGACTTAATGGTCTTTCCTGTCTTTTGGTTTCAGACTTTCTTGAACACATTTTTATGCATGTGCTGCACATCTATCCCAGAAATTGCACATTAAGAGCTTTTTGTTGTCGTAATTTCAGTTGATCAGCTCTTTTTGTTTGATGGATGCCGACATTGTTGTCCTCCAAGTAAAATTTGGCACGACATGTGTTTCCCAAGCCATGATGCTTGAAGTGACTCTCATTTGTTGGCTTATAGAAATGAAATGTGTTTGTTACTTAAGGCTTTCATTTTCTGACCTCCCAAAGTTGGTATGACGTGTTCTGATTGATAATGAAACAAATGGACAAGAAGCAGGGCAGTTCTGGAGTTTTGCACGTTGCATTGGTCATGAAGCTTAGGCTGCTTTGTTAGTTAGTTCAGTGCTACAACTTTAGAATTGATTACCCAAGTATAGGTTGTGCGAAGTAAAAAATTTCTCAGGAGTCTGAGGTCAAACCAAAGGGAATTGTGAAAACAAGAGACACAAAACAAATAAAAGGAAACTGTTTGGAAATTTATTTGAGTAAGAATTTATTCAACAGAAGAAAGGTGGGTTGGTTAAAACAACAATTGAAATAGTAAAGCATCGGGGATACCTTTTCAAATTCACACAGTAATTATTAATGATCTTGTTTTTGAACTCAATGGAGAATCAGCTGAAGAGTGATCTCAATCGGAATCAAAAGTTATAATTAATAAATTATTTGAATAAATATAAAAATTTATTTGTAGCTTATAAGCATTCACTGTGCTCGGAGTTTACGATAAATCAAGCTTTCTAACAGGTAAGTCTTATTTTATTGTAAATAATAAATCAACTATTTAATGAGAAATTCTAATTAATTAATTCAAGGATGAAATAACCAGTTATTTGACTCGCAGGGAATCTCAAGCATTCAATGTACGTGGCACAACAAATCAAAAAATTATACAGAGCAAAAACTTTACTAAAAGATAAGAATTAAATTAAAAGAATAAATCATGCATTAAAAAAAACATTAAATCAATATTAAATACCGTGCTTTATTGAATGTATATCCCCTAGCTTTAGTTGGGCTTTAGTAAGTCATAGAACTAGAACAAATACTAGAAAAGAAAATATGAGAAAAGAATAATAATAATTCTAATCATCCCCTCTCAATAGGTGAGAGCCTTTATTTATACTAAAAATAAATCCTAGATATAAGAAGAAGATATATAGTTGACTTAGGAGGAATTACTTTTCAAAAGAAGCCTTTTAAGGTTAAATCTCGTGCATAAAATCTTTGGGGGTGCAGGTACAAAATCTGTTTAGATTTCGAGTTTGAATTTCGCATATTTAGAGGCCGATTCATGAAATTTTTTGTGAAATACACTTTTGTAGCAATTAAAATCTTCTTTCCAATCCCACAAAAATCAGGTCAATATCGCAGTCAAAAGTTATGACCAAAATACTGAAAACGTGTCAAATCCTTATCTTTTAGAATACTTTCTTAATCCAACTTTAAATGAGTTTTCTTCTAATTTGGACTCTTATAAGGATTAAATTGTTGTCTTATCTTCAAATTTTCCTATCTTAATCTGGACTTTTCAATCCTTATCAATTGTAATTCTTCCTCTAGTGATTGTTTCACTTGTCTTATCCATTATTACTTTAAATCAACCAATTTACCTACAAAATAAAACAAACAATTAAAAAATGTATCAAGTTAAAAAATCAAGGAATCTAACACATTTAATCACAAATAAGATGCAATTAACCAATTATTAAATATAATAAAAAAACACTTTTGATAGTTAATCATTCAGCGCCAAGATTTTTTTAGTCACTTAATAATTGCTGGACATGCATCAGTCAGGACTTTAACCTCATTCCACACCGGATTATATTACTAACTATTTGATCTTCTTTTACAATAGCTATATACTTAGAATTAGTCTGCATGTAATTTTAGAGGAGAGGCTATTTTGACATATTTTTTTAAGAAAAATGTGGTAGTCTATTAAAGTAAGCAAGCTTAAGTAGGAGTTGGGTATGTCGATAAATATGTAGAATTGACTCTAGGCCCATTTAAATTTAGTCTTGGACTATTAAACGCCTGAATGGGATCCATTTTACTCATGTTAAAATAGCTGAGTTCGTATCATATACTTTTAAGGATTTTGTGGGTGCTCTACCGTAAGGCCAAAGTGTGATTCCTAGTATTGTTTTGCCTCAATTTTTTTTCCATTCTCTGCTCCTAGTTTCATTGGTTTACCAGGGTTCATTGAGGCCTTGAAGCTTTCCTTCCAACCTTATTTACGCTTACTAATTGTTTCCAAGTCGTGTATTTTGGCACTTTTTAGATGTGCTGAACATGTCTATGCAATAGTGGCTCACAATTTTTATTTGTAGGGCTAGTTATGATATTAAGATCCACTAATTAAGGTCAGGTTTAGATTTGAGTTTCTTACTTATTCCTGCTAGGTATCCAGCCCACTTGCCTGAAAACACGCATGATCGGGACTAGACCAAATAGTTGCTCCCCTTTAATTTTGTTGGACTGATCTGGAGAGAAGGATTACATCCAAGAGTCCCTACACGACTCAACCCACTTTTCTTATTGCTGGTAGATTTTGCACTAACTCCAGATATGTCTACTTAGTAAAAGAGAACTTTTCTAACACTGCCTGATTACTGAATAGCAATTTTAGGACTAACCTAATACAAAAGGAATCAAATTAGCAACTGAAAAATGCAAGGAAAACCAAAGGACCTTCATAGATGACCCAAAAATCAAAAAACCACAAAGCCCACACCTGTAGAGTGAAGAACACTCACTACCAAGGCAGGAAAAACATTGTCCGAGTGAATACCTTGCCGGAGCAAAGCAGTCACTGCTGAGGCTGGAAAATCACTGTTGAGGCTAACCCAGCACTGCCGATACCAAAAACAGCACTGCTAAAGCAAAAATACCTCACTGTCGGAGTCCAAATCTGCCACTGCTGACGTCAAAGACTGTCCAAAAGTCAATGGGTTGTGCACAGAACTCAACCCTGGCTCCTAGAAGACTTTGTCGGCATCCACAGGTAGCATTAGGATAGTTGGAATGGCTGCAAACTCCGCCAAATAGTTGAAAAGCATTCAAAATTCGGAAAAACACATCAAATGACTTGAAAAAATTCCACAAACATCACCATGATACTTGGGAGACAAAAACAAGTCGAACCATATCAAGAATGGTCGGTTCCAATGTTGAATCATTCAGGCGATGACGTCAGTGACACCAGCAAACTCCTTTCAGCGACTTCGAACTTCTGTTAGATCGCTCTGATACCAAGTTAAAATTTAGAGATCTTAAATTTTAAGATTTATAGTGAAGAGGCAAGAGGGGAGAAGAGATTAGAAACTAAGGTTTAGGTGAATCAGTGTTAATCATATTCTCATCATCCATATTTATATTTGCTCAAAAAAGAGTTGTTGATTACAATAATATCTCTAATTAAAATAATGCTAACATTCTACAGTATGTCTGTATTACAATACATCGGATGCATTCTTCCATTTTATGGTAACTAATAATCTGCATTTCATGTTAACTGTGTAAGTGATTGCTTCGTAGCTCATCAATGATTCCATGCCTCTTTACCCATACTAGTTACAGACTATGGTGCACAATTGTCATTGTTCACACATCACTTGTGATTGGTGGATTTCTCATGGTTAGTGCTGTTGCAGCTTTGCTAAATTATTTTATTCCATATTTGGAATGCTGTGCAGATAGACACAAAGGACATCCTTTTTATTTGTGGCGGGGCATTTATTGATTTGGAAAAAACCATTTCTGAGAGGTGATGTCTTCAAGTGATGTTGTCCTGACTGAAGTCTACTCTACAAATATTATTTACTTCATTTGGAGTTTGAGGATTCGACTCTGACTTCTCTGTGATTGTTTACCAGACGGCAGGATTCTTCAATTGGTTTTGGAGCACCAGTTCGTGCTAACATGAGAACAGGTGGAATCACCAATGCTGTAGTGACATCATCCTTACTAGAATCTGTAAGAACCAAGATTCGGGGTTTTTTTTTTTTTTTTTTGGTATATATTCTCTTTATGTTGAATATGTCATGAGTACTTCTAGTTAACAGTTACGTCCTCTATCTGTCTCCCTGTATCTGATAGCCAAAATCATGTACGAGTGTAAAACAATATCTTATTTTTCTATTTTCAGGTTGAAAGTAGTGATCTTATTGCGTATGGCCTCATACCAGAGTTCATCGGACGGTTTCCTATATTAGTGAGTTTGTCAGCTCTAACTGAGGACCAACTCGTTCAGGTAAAATTGACAGGTTTAGTGTACTGGTTCACCATGTTGACTGTAGGCTCATGTAGATATATTCTCTAATGCATGTGTACAATTATTGTCTCACATTGTTTCCCAGAAGGGCCCTTAATTTCCCTTTCTTGTGGACTTGACCTCTGATTGACCTGATGGAAATTCTAGAAAGAGAATCATCTCTTCCTGACAGGATCAATAGAGGGCAGGACCATTCCCTACTTGCCTTATTTCATGCCTACAGCTTGTTTGACATCATTATATCTTGAGCTTTTTCTTTCCTTTGGGGTCTAGTTAGGTGCCGTGGCCTTTCTGTATTCCTCTCTCGGTCATGGTATTTTCAGTTTCAGTTTTTATTTTGATGAAATAAAAGTACAATAAGGAATTGCAATTGTAAGAGAGGATTCGAGCCTTGAAAAACAAAAGGAAAAAGGAAACACGTACCCGTTGGAATTAGTTGTATTATCCCCAGAGCTATTCACTAGATTTGCTGTTTTTCAATTATTTGCATGACTTCTTATCAAAGAAAAAAATTATTTGCATAATGAATCTTCCTATTGGTTTTTACAAAGTTTAAATCACCATAATGAATGGTGAGTCTTCTAATCTTCTGTGCCTCCTAGCAAACTAAAATTAATGGTATTTGTGGTTTGCATGTTTTACTGCATCTTCGAGAATGGCATATTGATTTTTTCGTTCTATTTCTGTGACAGGTCCTAACAGAACCAAAAAATGCTCTTGGTAAGCAGTACAAGAAATTGTTTAGCATGAACAATGTAAGTGTTAGGCCCGTGCATCTCTCTCTCTCTCTATCTCTCTCTCCCTCCCCCTCATGCCAATCATAAGTGTTGAGTCTGAACTAGTTATGCTTCCATGCTCATTATTAATACCCTTATCCATCTCCAGGTGAAGCTACATTTTTCAGAGAAAGCATTGAGACTGATTGCAAAGAAAGCAATGGCTAAGAATACCGGTGCCAGGGGGTTAAGAGCCATACTGGAAAGCATTCTAACTGATGCTATGTACGAGGTATGCGCATAATGGTCAATACAAAAAATGCCATTAATTGATCTACAAAGCTTAATAGTATCAGCTAATGGATGCTTTCCCTTGAACATTTTAGATTCCAGATGTCAAGACAGGAATTGATAGGGTAGATGCTGTTGTGGTTGATGAGGAGTCAGTGGGCTCAGTAAATGCTCCTGGGTGTGGTGGAAAAATTCTCCGTGGAGAGGGTGGATTGGAGCGTTACCTTGCTGAGATCAAGTTGAAAGACCATGTGGTATAATTTTATTTGTATCTCTTGATTGAATCCACCTATCTGCCCATGGATTAGTATGAGATGGCTTGTTGGACTGACTTTTACTTCACAATTATTTTGTTGAACAATTTTCACACTGGAAACAATGCATCATTAGCCATTTTTAATGATGGATAATCTGTGGGCTTAAGCTTCTGTGGATAGAAGCAGCTTATTTTTTGGTGATCTATTCAGCTTGCCACAGTAGTCTGGTTTATTTTTTATTTGTAGCTGACTTGTTTATGTTGCTTGTAGGGAAACGCTGGGGCAGTTGGAGGGGAACAGCAGGCGGGTGAATCGGAGGTCTCATCATCTAGAGCAATGAGCATGTAACACCATTACCTCTACAGTCATTATTTTGTACATTGTCTCATTTTTCATTAGTGTAAGAATTATATTTGTAAGTCGTCATACGTGTTGCTTGTAAAACCTGCAGTGCTTCTAGTGCAAATTCAATTTAACATAGGAAATGCAATAAGGAGAGAAAGGAAAATGTAGCATTCTGATATGATCAGCAGTGCATAGAATGTCTCTTGCGAAAGAGAGTAATTTTATACAATGTTGGCTCTTGTATTATTACTACCGATCATATTTCCAACATTTTATGAGTGGCTTCAGCTGATTTCACTCCTTTAACATACGTGCATTGCAAGTGAACCATTTTGAGGATTTGATTTGACGTGAACCTGCACTACCACTGATCCTTGTATTGTTTCCTAATAAATTTGTAATATATTTTTTAATATTTGCTGACAATTTACGCTATGCCAATGAGAAGACTCACTGTGCACTTTCCTGCTCAATGCTTACTAGATGTGTTGCTCTTTTCAAAGCAGTTCTGAGATTTAATGGATAGTTTGCAGTGTTGGTCCAATCCACCAGGTTGAATATCTGTTATCTGTTATTTATTGTAGTCGAAATTGCAGAAACTGTATTAGGGTTTGTAATAAAATGAGAGGAGGATAGAAGAAGGGAAAGATAATTATCTGTCGTGTAGGTTTAGATTGTCCTACACTCTTTTACTTATAACTGTGTAATATTAAGGTAATTATAATATTACCTTAAACTAACTTATATCTAATGTATAAAATAAGAACTCTAACGCTCCATCTCAAGTTGGAGTATACATATTAAAAATGTCCAGCTTAGAACATAAACTATTAATGGTAGATCGAGCCAACGACTTAGTAAGAATATCACCTAACTAATCACCAGGCTTGATTTATGGAATGATGACCTTTTTTTGCATTAAAATCTCGAATGAAATGATAATTCACTTCAATATGTTTGGTACGTTCATGAAATATCGAATTACTTGTAATGAAAATAGTTGTTTGATTGTTACAATGCACCAAGAGTATATGTTTTAGAGAGTAAGTCTAGTACATACTTTCGTTGGCATAAATTGATACCCTTCTTTTAGTGCGTAACCTCAATCCTTTGGAAGTACCGAAAACGACCTAAGTTTTTAGTATTAAACTACTTCTCTAAATAGCCTTTGAAGAGAGCAATAGCCTTTGAAGTGAGTAATATCATTTGAGTCATTTTCACTGATGATGATGTTATTAACATACACAATAATAATAACAATGCCTGCAGAAGACCGATGAGTGAAAAATGAACGATTGAAGGTAGAGCATTGAAATCTAAACTGAAGTACCATGATACTGAACTTATCCAATCAAACATGTGGTGATTGTTTGAAGCCATTCAGTGTCTTCTTCAAATGACACACTAATTGAGTGGAGCGCCCCAACCCTATTCATGCAAATCAGAGCGCTAATAGCCTTCAAAAGTACTAAATGATACAGTCTCCAAATAAGTGAATAAGCTCTGATACGAAATTGTAAATACTCCAATCCAATTCTATATACATAATGAGCTTTTGTTATTAAGCTCATACAAATAAATATAATATAAACAACTATGGTACAACTCTGTTGTAGACTTATTACATTCTCACACACGTATGTAAAGTTTATTACAATTTACGTGTCTCAACAACACTGTTCAACACTTAGATAAAGACCAAAAAAAAATCAGCTGTTCGAATATTTACGGACTTCCCTGCCATCTGCTAAACTAAAAAAAAAAAAAAAATATAGGGTAATCATCAATAGCTCAGTAGAGTAGCTCAATTCTAAAGCATACAAGTTTGAAAATAAATAATTTGACATGATTGGGCATCAAAACAGTTCATTTCATACATAAAAAAATTTTTTTTGAGTAGAAACAAATAAGTTGAAAACAGTAATATGATCACAACATCAATACACATATAATAGAGGAGTAAACGTTGAGCAGAAACAAATAAGTTGAAAATAGTAATACGATCACAACATCAATACACTACCACACCGGAGAGCAAATTATCCTAATAAACACTCAAAGTCGATACGAACCATACAAACCAATCATTTAGGGGACTTGCACCACAAAGAAGATACGCTCCCTAATTCAATACGATCCAATTCGGTACTCAAGTCCGAAGAACAACTAGGCCATTTAGGCATTTACAAACTCAATGAAACCCTCTATGGTCTCAACCTGAAACGTAAAACCTTCGCCAATCGATCCTGTGTGCACTTATATTTTATTCTAAAGGATCCTAGAGTTTTACTTTCATACAATCAATACGAACTATCGCACAAAACACACATTAAAACCTTAACAGGGTCCGGTGTTGCAAAATAGTGTGAACGACCCAATCATTATTCGAATAACTTGTTAGACAATGTAAATAGCATAATTGATAAGTTTAGAAAGATCTTGGAAAAACTCACCCGTTCCATAATTGAGAAACCATACCTCCTTCCTTCCTTTAATATTATATTCTTTTTCTCTTTCCCTCTCTTCATTCTATCCCTCTTAATCATATTTAATATCGCATGTAGGTAGGGGGTGTCCATGGGCTAGGCCTGTGAAATTTTTTTTGGGTTGGGCCTGGGTAATGTTGGCACAAGTTCTTACCCCAAGTGATTTATCGGGCGGGTTGAACCGGGCTTCGGGTGGGATAGACTATTCGTAGCCCAACCCGTGAGTCTATTGGGCGGAACTGCTAGTGGGATTTTTTATATACATCTTTATTTAAAAATAATCAATATTTTTGTAACTTAATATTTGTGTAAATTATATTTTTGAATCAAAAGTAAAGTCAAAATGGATAAAAATAAAATAATGAACTACATCCAATAGAATGAATAAATCCCAACTAGGTTGACACCTACTAATTTATCTGTCATTTGCATTACTCTACCATTTAAAACTTATATGTTTAATACATGGAAAAGAAAATAATACATCTATATAATAAAGTAGCTTACAATTCGAATTTCAAAAGATAAACAAAATAATTTTTGTTATTCGCGGTTGAGATCGTTTTAAATTTTACTTTAAAGTTAATCTAATTGCTAATATTAACATCCTAAATTTAATAGGAAAAATAGGCCCCTAAGGGTATGTTTGGAGTAATTTTTTAAAAGTACTTTTAGAAATTATTTCTCATAAATATTTTACAGAAAATAGTGTTTGACATTGGCCCCACCACCATCTCTACCACCACCACTCCCACCACCACCACCGCCATCGACGCTACCGCCCCCCCACCACCATCACCACCGTCGCCACCACCACCGTCGTTGTCGCTGCCACCACCACCACCCCCCACCACCACTGCCACCACCACTACCACGGTTATTGCCACCCACCACAACCATTACCGTCTTCTACCACTACCACTATCGCCCACCATTTCTCACCCCTACTACAACTGACGCTTAAATTTATTTATCTCTCCTCTATATTTGTGATTTAATTATAGATATGAATACAAATATGTTTATTGTTTACCATTTTTTATTACTCTGTGCCTTTAGGCACAGGTAATAACTAGTTATTTTATAATATCTAAATTTTTAAAACTTTAATTTCGATATTGAGAGATTTATTTCAAAGTTTTAAATTTAATGGTCTAAAAGTATAACTTTTTTTTTCAAAGGGTGGGTGGGTGGGCTGGGCTGGGCTTTGGGCTGGGTAATGGGTTTGGGGGCAAATCCAAGCCCTCTTTTTAAGGATATTGGGCTTGGGTGGGCCAACTATCGGCCTTATCGAGATTCGGGTCTATTTTTTTCAGGATGGATAACGGGACCCGTGAGTAATCCGGCCCATGGACACCCCTACATGTAGGGTTCATTTTCAACTTAGCATAGGCGCATTCCATTCAAACACTACTTGTGTAGTATCTCTATACATTTTGTAGGTAACCTTCATTGGTTAAAACAACTCTAACTCAAGTTATATAAATCCAATTTTAACAAACCTCTAGGAGATGAAAATAGACTCATAGAGTTTCACTCCCACCCAAAATCACTATGTTTGGATGCCAAATACATGTTCAAAGTAACTCCTAAAACTAGGCACAAGCTCCAGAATTTCAGGTTAGGTCATAGTCATCTTTAGAACTTCACTATAAATCGATTTTAACTTATTTTTGTACGAAACCAAAGGGAAAAGAATACTTAACTCACTTATTTTAAAAATAAACTGTAACATAAGAGTATTACCCTAAATTACCTTCCATTCAAAACATCTAGAACTTTTTTAGTAGGTTAGGGTTAACTTTAGAAATTCATAAAAAATCCAGTTTTCATCATTTTTGTGTGAAACCAAAACCAAAAGAACCCTTTGCTAATCTATTGCAAACCCTCAAAGTTTAAGAATCATAAACTAACTGTGACTCATATAACCAATTACGAAACTACTTGCTATTCAGATTTGCCATAACAATTTCTATAGACTAGGGTTAATTTTAAAAAATCACCAAAAATAGTATATAAATCCGTTTAACTTGAAACCAAAGCTAAAAGAATCATTTTTAAGTTTAGTTTATGATCCCAAAGTTTCAAAATCATTAAAGAATAGTAGCTTATGACATGAACCAGAATCTCACATGCTGTTCAAAATTTTCAAGGTGCTTTGTTCTTCTTTCTTCCTTCTTCCTCTCACTCCCAATTTCGTTTTCATTTTGTTCAATGGTTTATGGGTTGTAATGTAAATTTTTTACTTGTGTATTTTATCACAAAATACCAAAAGGAGGGATTATTAGGATCATATTTGTAATTGACTAATTTCACAAAGTCTTTTTGTAAATCTCAGCCTGTTCCATGGTCATAATTCTATAATGCCAAAGGTCTGAAAGCAAAAAATGAAGGAAGGAGTTCAAGCTACAACGACACATCAAAGACTCTTCGTATGCACCTTCTTCCTTTGGACAAAGGTAATGGCCTTTCATAGCTTAGCACCCTTGGTTTAACTTTAGACCTAGGTTAGGTTAA